ACTACATAGTACTTTATTTCACTGAAAAGAAAATGGTTTCAAGTAATGTTGTGTGCATGTGCGTGTTTCTCTAGAAGACTTCTCAGCTTTCTTTACAAGTGCTATACGAACTCTGATCGAAGACGGCTGAAGAATCCAAGACTCTGGAGATTCCACTTTTCAAGAGTCCTGTGAGGACCCTTCCTCTAAGTGAGGCAGTTTCTCTCCTCCAGTGAAAATGAATTCTTTCTGTATCAGAGGCTGGGAAAGCTAGGCCATGTCCAAGAGGTCAAAATTAAGTCCATTAAATCCCAGCGCTGGACTTAGTCACCATAGAGACAGGGGAGGTAAATAAACCACTAACCTTAACAAACGGGCTGCACCTTTGCCAGACAGATCTCTGACTTACCATTATTTTTACTTAAGTATCTCTCAGTCCAAACATAACTGACGAGGAAGACTACAAAACCAAACAGAACTGGGCCCAAAGGCAATAGGAATGCTCATGCAGGCAAAGGGCAGGCAAAGAGTCAAGAGCTACCCGCCCCCCCAGTAATGTGCTCTCCGTTCCCCTTGAACGACGATTGCAACATGAAGCTCTAGAGGCAATGACATATGGGGAAAATATGTGGTGCTCAAGCCAGAGGAAACCATGTCAGAAAAGAAAAACAGACATGAAGTAACTGACCTAATTAAAGGAGAAAAGTACACGTACAGCAGGGAAACAAGTTTATCGGACACAGGGAACCCAGCTGGAGGGGAGGGGCCGCTGTACGGAGGCTCAGGACACCAGAGAGGAGTTCTGTCACTTAGCTCAGTGCCACCAGAAGATGAACTAGGCATCGCCCTTGCGTTGCGGCCCCACTGAGGCTCTAGTCGAGTGCGCCCGGAGCCTTCAGACAGCAAGATTCGTTCCCTGGCCCTGCTACGCCGTAAGGAAAAGCTCAGGGACCAAGATTTACACTCGACCACGTGGGACACCAAGATGCCTCTCTACCAACCACAGAAAACCAAAGAAAAATGGGAGAAGAGAAGAAAAAGGGAAGAAACCCGGAAGTGGAGGATGATGGGACGAAGCAGCCAGTAGGAACTCTGTCATCAGAACCCCAGGTCTAGGCTCCAAGCAGGCGTCCTCACCATGTTTCATAGTCTCACAGGTATTCACTCGACACCAATGGCTTGTGACACAAGTGAAGGAGGTGAAAGCCGAGGAAGCTGAACCTCGAAGCGAGCCGTAGACTTCTGGTACAATGTACAAACCACAGGACAGTAATACGGAAAAAACCTCAAATGAAGCGTTACCCATCGCTCTTGTCCGCACGCACACGGCTCTTCACAAGGCTATCAATCACAGCACATCAACAAGTTTACATCGTGCATTTTCTAGCAAGGCTGTGTTACACAATTCTTCCGTATCGGTCTGCGCGCCTCAAGATGATCATTTTGAGCAGATTCACGGAATTCCACTGCACAGATGCATCCTAATGGCTTAACCAAGAATCCTTCTAGAGTACATAAACCATTTCTCCAATGTTGGACACGTAAATTCTTTCAAACTTTTTGTCCCTGTGAATACCCCTGTGATGAATACCTGTACCATACAGCTCTCATTCTCTTCTCTCAGAAAAATTTGTTTCTTAGAACACATTTCCCAAAACAGGATTACTGGACCAAGGGGTACCAATCTTTGTGGCTGTGGCCATAAACTGCCAAATAATGTTCCAAAAGGCTTATTACCAACTTACACTGCTACCAGCAGTGAGTGTTTCTCAGTTTCGAGGCAACCAACCGTATGAGCTCTAGGTTTTCCTTTTGTTTTTGTTGACTTAATAGGTGAAAAATGCACCTTTGTGACATTCGAATATGCTTTACCTTCGCATACCAATGAGGCTGAGCATTTTTCCATGCGTTTGTTCGCTCTGTGATACAACGGGCGTGTCTTTTACCCTTCTAGCTGCTGGGGAATTCATTCAACCAACAGTTATGGCGCATCCACCATCGGCCGGGCTAGTGCCAGACCTTACGATCTCTATGAGCTCTGTGCACAATACGGAAATTAACTATCTTATCAAATGCACCGCGAACTTTTCCTGGTGTGTTTTCCTTTCATTATTTTCCCCAGCTTTCCTGAGGCTTAATTAACAAGAATTGTACATGCTTCTGAAGGTAAACAACACGATGATTTGACACAGCTGATTACCACAATCAAATTAGTTCACACATCTGCCACCTCAGGGCTCCTGTTTCTTGTGTGGGTGGTTAAGAACACTGAAGATCCACTCTCTCAGAAAATTTTCATATATTTGAGTCTGTTGATACTCTTCCTGACTACCTTCTATCATTTTATAGCTTACAAGGTTATCATTTATCCAGGGACTTGATAAATGTCCTATTTTCTGTCGTCTTATTTATAAGTTTTCTAAGCGTCTCATAAATATATTCTTCTACAGTTACAAAATTCACAGCTCTCATTCCTACTTCGTGGTTCGCCAGCTTTAACATGTGTAGCTATTTTACTGTAAGTACTTAATTTAAAGCACATTTTAAAATAAAAATTTAGAGCGCCTGGGTGGCTCAGATGGTTAAGCGTCTGCCTTCAGCTCAAGTCATGATCCCAGGGTCCTGGGATCGAGTCCTGCATCGGGCTCCCTGCTCCTTGGGAGCCTACTCCTCCCTCTGCCTCTCTCTCTCTCTCTCTCTCATGAATAAATAAAATGAAAAAAAAATCTTTAAAATAAAAATTTATCTTTTACATGGCTATGTTGTATTAAAAATAATGGACTTTTGGGGCACCTAGGTGGCTCAGCCGGTTGATCATCCAGCTCTTAATTTCAGCTCGGGTCATGATCTCCGAGTTGTGAGATCGAGCCCCGCATCGGGCTCCACACTCAGTGGGGAGTCGGCTTGGGATTCTCTCTCTCCCTCTCCTTCTGCCCCTCCCTACCTCTCCCCCCCACACCTCAAATAAATAAATCTTTAAAAGATTTTTATTTATTTATTTGAGAAAGAGCGAGAGAGAGAGAGCGAGGTGAGGAGCAGAGGAAGAAGCAGGAGCAGGCAGCCCGATGTGGGGCTTGATCCCAGGACCCTGGGATCACGACCTGAGCCGAAGGCAGCCGCTTAACCGACTGAGCCACCCAGGCGCCCCAATAAAATAATCTTTTTTTTTTTAAGATTTTTTTTATTTATTTGACAGAGAGAGAGACAGCGAGAGAGGGAACACAAGCAGGGGGAGTGGGAGTGGGAGAAGCAGACTTCCCGCTGAG